CCCCGTGTCCCCGCAGCCGCTGACCCCGATGGCTCAGGACAACGCCGCCTTCTGCGGGGTCCCCGAGGGGGTCCCGGCCGGGGGGGACGCCCCCGGTGACCCCAAACCCCCTCCCCACCCCGCCCCTCCCGCGCCCCCCAAACGCCGCCCGCCGTGGGGGGCCGGGGGGGCCCGGGGGGCTCGGAAGCGGCAGCGCTACGTGGAGAAGGACGGGAGGTGCAACGTCCAGCACGGGAACGTGCGCGAGACCTACCGCTACCTCACCGACATCTTCACCACCCTCGTGGACCTCAAGTGGCGCTTCAGCCTCCTCATCTTCATCCTGGCCTACGCACTCACCTGGCTCTTCTTCGGCCTCATCTGGTGGGTCATCGCCTACAGCCGGGGGGACCTGGAGCACCTGGGGGACCACGCGTGGACCCCCTGCGTCAACAACCTCAACGGCTTCGTGTCGGCCTTCCTGTTCTCCATCGAGACCGAGACCACCATCGGCTACGGACACAGGGTCATCACTGACACCTGTCCTGAGGGCATCGTGCTGCTCCTGCTGCAGGTGAGTCCCATGGGCACAGGGTCATCACTGACACCTGTCCCGAGGGCATCGTGCTGCTCCTGCTACAGGTGAGACCCCCCGGGTACGGGCACAGGGTCATCACTGACACGTGTCTAGAGGGGATCGTGCTGCTCCTGCTACAGGTGACACCCACGGGACGGGAGGAGGGGACAGGAAGCCAGAGAGGGGAGTGGGGAGGTCAAAGAGGGGAGTGGGGATGTGAAAGAGGGGATCAGGACCCCAAAAAGGGGAGTGGGAATGTCAAAGAGGGGAGTGGGGACCCCAAAGAGGGGATTGGGGAGGTCAAAGAGGGGAGTGGGACCCCAAGGAGGGGTGCAGGGAGTGCTGGGTGGGGCAGAGAACCCCAAAGTAGAGTGTAGGAACCCTAAAGAGGGGAGTGGGAACGTCAAAGAGGGGAAGGGGAACATCAAAGAGGGGGTCAGAACCCCAAAGAGGGGAGTGGGGATGTCAAAGAGGGGAGTGGGACCCCAAAGAGGGGAGTGGGAACGTCAAAGAGGGGAG